ACCACCCAGGCCAGAAGCTTTTCCACCAAGCAGAATTCCCCTGAGCTCCGCTGTCGTCTATTGGGTTAGAGGAGCGTCTTGAAAGAAATGAGAAGTCTGGTTTTGAGTCACAAAGGGTTAAACTCTTCTGCCATTCCCACCCCCACCCTAGTTCCACTATTACTGCAAAGTCGGAGGGGAAGGTGGGTAAGGGGTGTCTGGTGGGGTCCTGGACAGAGCCCCTCGTTTCCGTTCCTTGGTATGGGTAGAAGTTGGTTGGGCTCCGCTCCAGCAGGCTCAGAAAACGCTCATGGTTCCACTGCACCTCATTTCTCACTGGAAGAGGAAGCCTTTGCACTCCCCCCTTGATGCTTAGCTCGTCTCAAGTTAGCCCTGGATGCAGACGTCGTTTATAGGAATGAGCCCCAACCTCCTCCATTGTAGGGTGCAAGGAGGTCTCCGATACCTAAACGGCTGTCCCTTGTAGCCCCCACTTCCAGGGGTTGAGGAGCTGAGCCCATCTTTGTAGATCCCTTCTAAAATCTTGCTCCATTCCCTCAGTCGAGTCAGCTCGGAGTCTTTAACTATGTGCCAGGTGCTGGGATCACACACGTGTATAGATCAGCCAGGATGGACAGGACTTCAGAAGTAACCCAGTGAGTGAGAGAGGGGCTCCCTGGGCACATCATTGTCTCAGCAGCGATATGGCATCTTAGCATCCCAAGTGGTGAGGCCCGGAGCAGCTCTCCTCCCTTTTCATATGTGGTGGGTGACCTGGCCTCCCACAGGATCCCTGCAATAAAGAGAAGAGCCAGCAGTCCAGAGAGTCTCTCTCTGAAGCTCAGGTGGCCCATGTTCATGGATAGAGTAAAGGGCAAGGACCCATTGAGCAGTGGAGCATTATGGCTCTCCGGCAAAGGTGTCTGGCTTTCAGCCTATAACCAAACTACCCTGGGGCTTGTGATGAGCTGTTTGCACAGGTGCAGAAGTGACTTCCAAAGCCACCAGAAGGAACGGGGTGGGGGTGGGGTGGGGGAGCAATGGCTCCTTCCAGATGGTCTTTAGTCGCAAGGGTCCAGAGCCCTGCTTCTCCCCACCCAATGTGACCTCTTGCAGCCATATGAAGAACACAGAGGGCATGCTGGCTCTGCAAGACCTTTAGAAGATTCCACTGGAGAGGGGGATTGTTTTCGGTTTCCTCTTCTTCCTCCCCATCTCCTGGTCCCCTCCCCAGATAACATCCTTTAAAATAGACTTTGTTAGCCTGGCAGTGGTGGTGCCGTACACCTTTAATCCTAGGCAGAGGCAGCTGTTCTGGTGAGTTTGAGGGCAGCCTGGTTTACAGAGTGAGTTCTAGGACAGCCAGGAGTACACACAGAGAAACCCTGCCTCAGAAAAAAACAAAAAGTAAAAAATAAAATAGACTTTGTCTCTGCCCATCTCTGTGTGTATACACGTATGTACACTCACACAGCATGGATGGATTTGCCTGCAGTATGCTGTACCCCAATATTGTGATATTACACAAGCTTGAGAGTTTTGTTTTGTTTGCAGTGCTGGGGACAGACCCCAAGATCTATGCCTGTCAGACAAGCGCTCTACAGTGAGCTGCAGTCTTAGAGCCCTTGAATCTGAGTTACACATAATTATTTAGCAACTTCGTTTTAAATTTTATTCTGTTTCATGTGTATGTGTGTTTTCCCTGCATGTATGTCTAGCACCATGTGCATCTGTGGAGGCCAGGAGAGGGTGTCCTGTCTCCTGGAATCGGAGTCACAGATGGTTGTGAGTCACCATGTGGGTACTAGGAATTGAACCCAGGTCTTCTGGAAGAGCAGACAGTGCTCTTAATCACTGAGCCATTTCTCCAGTTCCTAGTACTTTCCTTTTTCATTTAATGGTACATCTTGAAGATCAGCCACTTCTCATCTCTTTCTCTCTCCCTCCCTCCCTCCCTTCCTCCCTCCCTCCCTCCCTTCCTTCCTTCCTTCCTTCCTTCCTTCCTTCCTTCCTTCCTTTTTTCTTTTCTTTCTTCTTTTGTTTTTTAAAATATTTTCCCCAAACACAATTTTTCTATGTAGCCCTGGATGTCCTGGAACTCAATCTGTAGACTAGGCTGGCCTCAAACTCAGAGACCCACCTGCCTCTGCCTCCTAAGAGCCGGACTTTCTTCCTTTCTTGTACTAGGAATTAGCCCTCGGGCCTCTCTTTTGTTGGGCAAGCCCTCTCCCAATAAACTACATCACCAACTTTCTTTTTGCTTTCATTTTGAGACAAGGTCTCTCTAAGTTGCCTGAGTTAGCTTCCATCTCACTTTGCAGACAAAATTTGAATTTTGCAGGGCGGAGGTGGGGGGGGGTCTTCCTGTTTGGCTTCCCAGATGGCTGGGATTATTTACTCTCTGTGGATGACTGCACAGTATTCCAAGTGTGTACCCAGCCCCACTGTTGAATACACACATTGTATTTAGACTGTCACAACCACAAGAGCAGTCCAGCAGATGTCCTTGGACCAAACAGCCTCCTTTGCTTAAAGCTTTGCTGCTTTGTTGAACAATGAGCCCTCTAGCAGAGAAGGCGTTCAAGTAAGAGATAAAATAATGTCACTCCACATCGGCGAGACTCAAACTTTGCTTTGCGTGAGAACAACCTGGAGAGCCTTTAAAGCTGTAGGTGCTGAGCCAGATGCATGGAGTGTCTGCTTCAGGAGATAAGGAAGGAACTTAGGATCTGCATCATAGCTTGTTTCCAGGGGTTTCTCTCTCCTAAATGCAAGGATCACATATGACACCGTGCCCAATTCCAGTCCAGTTTGCTGGTTGTTTATTTGTTTTGTGGCTGTTGTTTTTGGGGCAAGATCTCACTATGTAGCCCTGACCAAACCTGAAGCGCCTTATGTGGGTAGCACAGAGATCCACTGGCTTCTGCCTCCTGAGAGCTGGGGTAAAAGGCGCACCCCCCCCCCCCCCGTGTCTAGCTGATCAGATTCTTTTAAATAAAAACTTGGATTCTACTCTGTAACCCAGCCTGGCCTAAAACTGTGAATCTTCCTGCTTTAGCTTTCCAAGTGCTGAGAATACTGAAGTGTGACTAATTTGCCCTAATTTGCAGCTTGCTTTAGGAAGATTCTATGGCTTTAAACTTAGGGAGCAGGGCTGGAGTCCCTTCTGGCCTTCCAGGTGAATTTTGCTGGAGATTCATTTTGCTGAATATTTACTGAACCCTTTTAATGTCCTTTCCTGCTATTAACTAGAGATCTGACCTCAGCTAAGACTTGGGACCCCCAGACAACGTACCTTCCATTTCCCTTGGCTTTGAAGAAACTGTTCTCTACATTTCTGTGGCAGGATGACTGGGTACTGGGAAGTCCAAAAGGAGACCTGGCTTTTCTCGGTGCCTTGGTCCCCTCACACAATGAGTGACTGCCTTGCAGGGTGATAATGTTGACTAACTGAGAGAGTATGCAAAAAAACTCTAAACCCAGTGACTCACATCTGTTCTTTTCTTTCGGCACGGGGTCTCGCTATGTTGCTCAGGCCTCCTGCTCTAGTCAGCCATTTGAAAGTTGGGATGACATCATGTGTGACCAGGCTGTCTGTCTGCTCTGATGTTTCAACGATGATGACGGATATGGACCCTGGGGCATACCAGCATGGCAGAGAAGGTACAAGTCCCTGTGTGGAGAAGACAAGGCCACACACTGGTGGGACCATGCTGCCTTTTTTCTCATGAGGCTGCACTGTGAACACAGGGGCTGCACACAGTAAGCGCCCAGTAAGTTGGCTGGGCATGGAGATACATCTCTGTTGGTAGAGTTTGCCCACTGAGCGCAAAGTCATGGGTTAGATCCCCAACCCTGCATAAAATGAGACTGGCTGGTGTGTACCTGAACCCCAGAACTGGGGAGGTGGTGGCAGGAGGAACTGAAGATCATACTTGACAAGATAACAAGTCCAAGGTGGGTTTGGGATACATAAGATCCTGTCTGGGGAGGAAGGGGAGTTTGCTGGGTGCGTTTGGAGTGTCTGATTTCACTTAATTTTCCCCTTTACTCTGGAAGGAAGAAGACTTTGTGATTGAGAAAATAAAGAGGTTTAAGGTGAATGTTTAGAAGAAATGCTTCAAATTATTTATAAGGGAATCTAATTTGCAATCATTTTTGCCAGATTATGCCTTCAAACTTCCCTTGGGTACCCATGTCATGCTTCGATGGAGGCCCAAATCTGGCGAAGAGCAGGCAGGCTGGGCTATGACGGAGAGACCTCATTTCAGGAGAGATATGCGGGCACTCACATACTCCAACAGGGAGTTAGACAGATGGGTCTCGGGGCCTGGGCTTGATCCTCCACCCCCAACTGGGAAGGACCCTCTTGACCAAGTAGATTGGGGCTGGTCTTCAAACAGGAAGCTATATCCAACCCCCTGCTCTCTAAGGCCAGAGACCCCCTGTAGAGAATGCTTGTAGAATGGATCACCACACACAAGCAAAGGAAAGAGACCACACCTGTATGGTGTCACATACAGTTATCCCAGCACTAGGGAGGGAGAGGCAGATGGATAAGAAGGTCAACATCATCCTCTGCTACATAGTGAATTAGAGACCAGTCTGGACTACATGAGACCCTATCTTAAAACCAGCCAGCCAGCTAGCAAACAAACAACATCAGAGGAAGGAGGCCGACTCTGAGATCAGGGGACCATGAGGACAGTGGCAGGGATCATAGAGGGTAAGAGCTGGCGGCTAGAGAGGTCAGGAGCAAGCAGGCTCTGTCAGAACCCTGCGCGGAGCTCAGGAAACCAGTAAGACTATGGCCTCTTTTGGCTCTCACAAACACAGATGAGCTCCAAGAGGACAGAGCCTCCTCTGGGCCTGGGAGGCCACTGTAGGGGCTTCAGGTTCACCACACAGAAGGTGGGTGAGGATGAGGAACAGAGATGTCCATTTGTGATGTGGTCCCTGAGGTATCCAGGGAGATGCTCTAGCCACCGTATAGTCTGTGGGGGGAAAGAGAAGAGGCAGGACAGTGAGGACATCGTGAGGAAGACCCTCACAGAGGGCAGTGGGGAGAGCTGAACTTGGGGACACTGAGGAAGAAGGACAAATGGACTTGTCTCTACTGGGGAAGAAAAGGAGGAAGAGAAAAGCCAGGAGACACTTCCAGGGCACCTAGGCCATGGTCACAGAGCAGGTACTATCCCAGAAACATGCAAAGAGCTTGGCTTGTCTGGGGACATGCAGCTTCAGTGTAGATTGATTGAGCACATGTGTACTACAGGCCTACTGTGTGCTCGGCCAGAGCCCACCTTCACTGGCAAAGCAATTAATAATCTAGGTCACTCTCAAGGCATGAGGAGACAAAGGCCTCTGCCCAGCCTTCCTGGAGGAAACGACTCTGCTGAGGCATTTGCTAGAAGTACCCCAAAGCTCACTGATCTCCTCAAACATTCATCCCCCAGAAACCCACGCCACCAGGGAGCCCCAAAGCTGAACAGAAAGAGAGCATGAGCTGTCGTCAACACAGGAAAAACCCAGGCTTCCTGTTTGAACTCGGGCAGGTACTGGAAGCAGTGAGTAATGCCGGGGCGGCCTGCGGTGGGGGCTTCTCACAGTGCCTGGGGACGCGGGGGCCCAGTGGTGTAAGGGTGTATAGGAGGAACGCTGTATCCACGCAGGCAGGTCACAGGCCCCGGCGACATCAAAGTCAGTTGAGCTGTGGCCTCTTTAAGGCTGCTCATTGTGGTCAGTCGTCCTCGATAATGACGAAACTTCAGAGACGGAGCGCATCTGAAGTCAGTCCCCACTGGCCTCCGTTCACACAACACGACACTTGCTAGGTCCTTGGAAACTGGGGTTATCCTGTTGTGCCAACTTGAGGTCTGGGGTCCACTCTGGACCAAGAATGCTATGCGTATGAAAAAGCTTCCTGAGGCACCAGGGCCAGGGGCTCCTATCCTCTCCCACTTTTAGACCGTGAATGAAAAGGGCCCTATATAGAAACTGCCAGGCCTCTGGAGAGGTAAGACACCCACACAGGTTAAATGTGGGGACACCAGAAGCTGACACTTAACTGTGTCCCTATCCTGTACCAGAAAGAGTGAGCTAATGTCTCATCCTATTCATTTTTATTTTTATTACTAGTGACAAAGTTTCTTTAAGAAATTTTTAAATTTCATTTTTATCACCAATGTATGTGTTTGTGTATGCTTTTATCACCACTGTGTGTGTGTATGATGTGTGTATGTTTTTAATCACCATTGTGTGTGTGTGTATATGAAGTGAGTATGTTTTATCACTATTGTGTGTATGTATGATGTGTGTATGTTTTATCACCATTGTGTGTGTGTGAATGAAGTATGTTTTATCACCACTGTGTGTGTATGATGTGTGTATGTTTTATCACCATTGTGTATGTGTGTGTATGATGTGTGTATGTTTTATCACCATTGTGTGTGTGTGTGTGTGTGTGTGTGTGTGTGAGTGTGATGTGTGTATGTTGGGAAGATAGGCATGCTCACACCACGGTGCATATGCACGGTGCACATCAGAGTCCAACTTTTGGGAGTCAGTTCTCTCTTTCCACCCTGTGGGTTCCAGAAACCAAGCTCAAGCCATCAGGCATCAGGCATGGCGACAAGCACTTTTACTCACAAAGCCATCTTGCCAGCCTCAGAGAAAGAAAGGGCTTCCCGTATTCCAGGACATCCTTGAACTTGGCCTGTAGTCAAGGATGCTCTTGAAATTCTCACCCTCCTACCTCCACATAAAGCCTTGGGCTTTTAAAGTCAGATCATAGCCAGGTATGGAGACACACATCTGCCCTCTCAGCTCTTGGGAGGCCGAGGCAGGAGGATGCCAAACTTCAGGGTCATAGAACCAGACTTGGTGAAGAGAAACCGGGTGGGGTGAAGGAACATTAAATCATAAAGTTCATAAAATTCCAATTCTAGGCCCCAGGACTGGGGTGTGGCTCTGTGGTAGAGCTCTTGTCTCTCCAGCTCAAAGTCCTAGGTTCTAATCCCAGTTCCGAAAGTTAAGCCTGAAGGACCAAAGCAATTTTATTTTTGTCTTCGTGGTACCAAGGCTGCTCTCTAAGACAGAGGCTCTCAGCTCCCTGTACATCTGCCCAGGCCTACTGACCGGCTTATCACGGTCCATTCCTCCGAAAGCCATTTGACCGCTCCATGCTTCCATTTTTCTATCTCTGAAATGGGACTATGAAAGCCTGGCACACCCACAGTTCTGTGGCAGAGATCAAACCAGCTGCCGAGAGACCTGAAAACACTGAGAAACCTATACGATGTTACACTTATGCAAATCCTGGCGATTCATAGAATCACACGCTGCACACTTGGCAGTGTCACTCACATCTCAAAAGCTTCTACTATGAAATCTGCATTTTCCTGGTAAAGAAGCTGAAGCCCAGAGAGGTGAAGGAACTCGCCTAGAGTCACACAGTTAGTAAGATACAATTCAAGACTTGGTTTCTCTGATCTAAGCCAGCTCTCACTCCTCAACCTCTCAGACTCGTATCCTTGGGATCCCGGTCACAAGACAAAGCTGAAAACAAGGACTGGTTAAGATCTCAGTAGCATACTTGCTTGCCTAGCATGAACATAGCCCTGGATTCCATCCCCAGTGCAACATAAAGCAGGCATGGTGGTAGACATCCGTGATCCCAGCGCTTGGGAGGTGGATTTAGGAGGATCCAGAATATAAGACCATCCTCAGCTATATACAGAGTTCTAGGCTAGCCTGGGCTACATGCGACTCTAAAAAAGGAATAGGGGGGAAGTGGGGCTAGAGAAATGGCTCAGTGCTTAAGAGTGCCCACTGCTCTTCCAGAGGACAAGGTTCAGTTCCCAGCACCCACATGGTGGCTCACAATGGTATAGAACTCCAATTCCAGGGATCCAATGCCTCCTCTGGCCTCTGTGGACACTGAACACGTGGTGTATAGACATACATGTAGGCAAAACATCCATACACACAAAATGGTAAGGTAAAAAAAATTAAAGAAAAGCAAACTAAAAGCATTACAATAAAGCCAAGAGCCAAGAGAGTTTGTCTTAAGATGCAGGGGAACCTCGGAAGTCTTTCCCTTGTCTCTACAGATGTAGTAAGAGCCATCACCAAGAAACCCTCCCTTGGCCTCAGGATTCTCTCTATGACCTCACCTTGGCCTGGCCCAGAACTGAAGGCCATCCTGCTCCGGCATCCTAAATGCAGGGGTTACAGAAGTGGCCCTCTACGCCTTGGCAGATCGCAGATATCCCTGAGCCTGACCTCACTCACAGAAGCCAATGAATCGCGAGCCAGCACCACCTCCTAAGACAGTCAGATGTCCCAGGTCCTAGGGAATGCTGGGTACCACCTAACACAAGCCTCACAGGGTCTTTGTGTGAGGTAGTGTCTTGCTATAGAGCCCAGGCTAAGCTGGAACTCCATCCTTCTCCCTCTGGCTGTGAAGTACTAGGATTACAGACCATAGCTGGCTGATGTCACCGCAGCTCCCTACCAGCATAGATGGCTGTCACAGTCTCTCCATTTAAACAAAACTGACGGGTGATTCTGACAACATTTTTTGTTATTGTTGTTTGTTTGTTTGTTTTTGTTTTTGTTTTCTTGAAAAAGGATCTCATGTAGCTCAGGCTGGCTTCCAACTGTGTAGCCAAGGATGGTCTTCAACTATTGATCTAGACTTCAAGCATATGCTACCAGTGCCTACTTTGTATGGTGCTGGCGACCCCAACCCTCTTTCTTTTTCTCTTTCCTTCCTCCTTATTTTAGCGGTGGTGGTGACAGAGTCTCATATAGTTCAGCAAGTCTCTAACTCCTTATGTAGCCAAAGCTACCTGGAACTACTGGTCCTCCTGCCTCCATCCCCCGAGTGCTGGGATTAGAGCATGTATCACCATCATTAATCCACACAGTACTGGAGGCTCCGAGCTTCGTGCATGCTAGGCAAGCCCTCTGCCAGCTAAGCTACCATCCTCAGTGCTCCCTCTCCCTTATTTATCTATTTACTTATTTGAAACAGGGCTAGCCCTGAACTTGTTACAGAGCCAAAGATGACCTTGAACTTTTGATCCTCCTGCCTCTGTCTCCCAGGTGCCAAAATCACAGGCATGAGCCACGCTGTACCTGGTTTACATCATGCTTGGGATTGAACCTAAGATTTCTGGTATGCTATGCAAACCCGGATCAACTAAGTTACTACACTCCCAAGCTGCTCTCCCTCTCTCCTCTCCCCCCCCCCCCCGCCCCCCCCCCCCCCCCCAGCAAATCTCCCAAGCAGGCAGACCCAGGAGCTTTTCACAGACTCAGCATATTCTTCCCTCTCATGAGCTCAGGTGTCTGATTTTCCCTTGTGACGCTCCTAGTGGTGAGCCGGAGGTACAGTGAGCGGTTTTGAAGGCAGGTTCCTTATCTCTAAGCGTTATCTAAGCATCAAAGCCCACTTGAAGAAAAAAGCAGTTTCAACATCAACTTGAAGGTTTGACTGTTAAAAGGAGGTGCTGGGACAAAGCGACCACAGCTTTTATCGCACGTTTGTGAAGGTGGCGTGTGGTGGGAATACTACGTCTCAGGTTCGCTGCTGAGAATGCGCGGTGGCCTTTGAACAAAAAACAAAACGGTGGGATGGAAACTGCCGGTAATTGTCTTTACCTAAGGTTTCGGAGGGCGCACACCCGGCCTTGCGGTTGCGGGCGCTGTTTCATGCTGGGGTTCGCGTCCCCCGGCCCTGCCTGGCACCCAGTGGAACAGATCGGGCCTCAGATCTGTGTGCACCTGTGGTTCCCGCAAGGAGGCAAGTGGATGACCGCGAGATAGGGCAACAATGGAAAGTTTTCTCACCTGAAAGGTCTGGGGGAGGGGAAGGGGAGCACTGTGTGCCTCGGGGAGACTCGTGTGCCCCAGAAAAATAAGGAGCCCGAGGAAGTCAGCCCCCTCCCACCTAGGAGCCCCCGGCCCACACTGTTAATTTTCTTTGTCATAGGTTCCTTCTACCACAGGTGATGCCCTGCTTTGTGTGTCAACAGTTTCTAAAGAAAATAAAGAGAGCAGCAGAACTTTGAAGATCAGAGATTTGGTTTTTCTCCCCAGAAAGTTCATGGGATGTATCTCAGTCAGTAGAGTACTTGCCTAGCAAGCCCAGAAGTCCTGGGTTGGATCCCCAGCACCATATAAGAGGGTGTGGCGGTACATGGTCTAAACACAGCACTTGGGAGGTGGAGGCAGGAGGATCAGAAGCTCAAGGTATCCTATTTAGTGGTTTTCTGGGCTACAAGAGGCCCCATCTCAAAGACAAAAAAAAAAAAAAAAAGAAGAAGAAGAAAAAGAAAAAAGAAAAGAAATTTATTTATTTTGGTTTTTCAAGGTAGGATTTCTCTGTGAAACAGTCCTGGCTATCCTGGAATTCACTCTGTAGACCAGGCTGGCCTTGAACTCACAGCGATCTGCCTGCCTCTGGGATTAAAGGCGAGCACCGCTGCCACCACCACCCAGCAAAGAAAGATGTTATGTTCTAGAGATATATGCTCCACATCACAGCGAA